TGCTGCCAGCCCACCCCCTGCACCTCATCCTGCTGCAGACCCTCCTCCTGTGTGTCCCTCATCTGCCGAACCCTGTGCTCCCGCCCAGTCTGTTGCGTCCCCGCCTCAGCCCAGAAGTCCTGCTGCTGAGTGATCTTCTTAAGGGCACGCAAACACTCAAGAGCTCACTGCCCTCTGCACCCCAGGATTCTTTACTAAGAGCCAAGACAGCTGCCAAGTCCCTTCATGGGTCCCCGCACTGGGCATCTGTGGTCGCCCGGCCACCGCTGTGCCTTTCTCCCTCTGGAAACAGGTCACCCATTTCTCCACTGACTTCCCCCAAAGCAACGTGCCCTGCCATCCAGCCTGGCTGGCAGTGACCCCAGCGAGGCCAGCTGGACGCTCCAGGCCTTGGGGCCTTGAGAGGATGAAGGGAGAGAAGCTGGTTTCTCCTCGCCACCTCAACCGTGTGGCTTAGCACCCCACTGCCTCCTATGCTGGCTTCTTCACTTCCTCCCCCACCCCACCCCCATTCTGTGTTTGGTCTGTTCCCTCCAATAAAGTCCTTGCCTGATGCACTTATAGGATTCATTTCTGTTCTTTACAACTAAGACCCCTACCTGACATCCCCCAGGTAGGGTTGGTCCCAGGTCGTTCCCTGGGCCACCATGTTCCTGCCCCTCAGTGGTGACCTGGGAGCCCCCCCTCACTCTGACCACATCTATGTCCAGGAGGTGGACACACTTTCTGGACACAAAAGCTGAATCATCTGACAGCGGTGCCTGCCCTGGGTAGGGGCTACTCCTCAGGGGTGACTCAGGCTGTCTTCAGCGTCCCACTCAGAAGGGCTGGTTCAGGAAGGGGTTCCCACAGCAGGTCCCCAGCACATGTGACTAGGGTGCCTCCATGGGCCTAAACCGCCTGTGCTGACACCTGCTCTCCTCCTTGGAGCCTGGGATTTGGGGAAGTGGCGGTCAGAGGGCCATGTGACCAGCCCCCACATGTGACTAGGGTGCCTCCATGGGCCTAAACCGCCTGTGCTGACACCTGCTCTCCTCCTTGGAGCCTGGGATTTGGGGAAGTGCCGGGCAGAGGTGCCATGTGACCAGCCCCCAATAAAACCCTGGGCCCTGATCTCTGACAAGGTCCCGGTAGACATCTCACAGGTGCTGTCACACTGCCTGTGAGCAGGTCAGTGCCTCCTGCATGATCCACCGGGACAGGCCCTGGCAGCTGCACCTGAAGTCTCCACTTCCTCCCCCGGAGCCTTTTCCTGCGCTGACTTAGCTCTGTGTACCCAGTCCTAAGAGCTCTAGAGAGTCATTGAAACAGGGGAGGGGGAGGGGGCTGAGGACTCCAACACCCATCAGAATGAAAACAATGTTCAAGTCTGATCATAGCAGACAGGCCTAGAGTGTAGACAGGCACATGTTACAACATGTAACTCCCCCTTGAGTGACACTGACCTGTGTAAAGAGTATGACCAGGAGGATGAAAAACACAGCCCCAGGCGGGAGGAGAGATTCGCATGCACAGACGCCCAGGGGTGCGCTGAGGCCGCCTCCCCCAGCTCCTGAGAGCTGACCAGGCACCTCTCTTCCCAGCTCAGTGTTCAGTAACATCACATTGGGAGCAATTGTGAGAATAGTTACACCATGGAAATGGGCAAACACCTCAATCGGGGCTTTTGTGTTGTTTTTGTTTCACAGGCAGCCAGTTATTAAACATTTACCAGCAGGCCCTGCACATAGGCAACAAAGAACTCAGATTCAGAATATGTAATCATTTTCTACAAATCAGAAAGTACAATAACCCTATTTAACTAAGACTGGCTAGCACCTATAAGAAAAGATATTCAGATGTTCAGTGAGCAGTTGTACTCATCAGGGAGCTATCCATCAGCCACGAAGGCAGAACAGAGGCATTGTTAACCATGCTGGGCTCAAACATTTCTCTCCGATGCACCATTTTCAGAAGCTTCTGGAGGGTGTGCTCCACCAAAACAAGGGCCAAAACCCAGGGAGGAAACCACACTCCATCCAGGAAGTCAGAACTCCGTGACTGGGGAGAGGAGGGAGCATCCAGATAAACAGTGAACGGAGAAGCCGGGTGACGCCTCTGCACCGGTGGGGGACAGCCCGCAGCCACACAGGCTCCAGGAGGGGTTTCTCAGTGAAGCTGACCGGTCACCTGATGCGTGTGAACCTCTTGAGCGGAGCTTGGGGACTTTTGAGGACAGGCACACAGGACAACAAGCAAACACACACAAGAGGCCATCGTTAACCCTAAGAAAGGAAAAGCAAGCAAAAAACAATACACGTGCACATAAGGATGTTAACCCCGGTGCCACTATACAGACGTGGCTGTGAACAACACTCAGTTAAAATAACACGGTGTGAACACAGATGTAACCAATATTAGGGCTGGCTGCCTTCTGGGGCTGGGAAGAGGGGGGTTTTCACGGGGCTGGTGGCAAAGAAGAGAAAGTGCCTTCCTCCTCCACAGAAACGAGCTCGTATCTGAAAATGAAAACTCAAAAAATAACAGAATGTGCACGGTATTCGGTAATTTTGAGATAAAAGGGGAACTAAGAACGGGATCTGGGACGGACATTGGGAGAGAGGCACCCAGAGAAGAGCCATGGACACCCCATGGGGTTGGGGGTGGCACAGGCAGGAGGCACTCCTCTTGGCCGAGGCCTCCTTGCTCCGTGGAGGAGGGTGTGGGACACAAGTGCAGCATCTGCTGGTGCAAAGCACCCTGAGCCTGGAACTCACGCTAAAGGTGCACAGAGGGGCTAGGCCTCAGGGTCACACCCACCTCCTGAGCCGTCCTTTAGGATCTCTGCGTCTCAGCACTTGCTCTCAGGACTCAAACACTCCTCCAGAGACCAGCCGTCACCAGCCACACTCAGAAGTCTGGCATGGCAGACACCTGCTGCTCCAGAACCTGTGTTACCGCCGCGTCTACCCTGTCCGTCTGCTGCAGCGACCTGAGCTGTGGCAGCCATGTCTGCGCCCCGACCACTCTCCTTGGCTCCTCCGGGCAGGTGGACAATTGCCAAGAGAGCTGTTGTGAGCCCCCCTGCTGCACCCCCAGCTGCTGCCAGTCCACCAGCTGCACCCCAGCCCCCTGCCTGACCCTTGTCTGTGCCCCTGTGAGCTACATGTCCAGCCCCTGCTGCCAGAGGGCCTGTGGGCCCAGTACCTGCCAATCAACCTGCACCAATTCCTAGATGCCCTCTTGCTGCCAGCAGTCTAACTGCCTGCCCTCCTGCTGCACCTCCTCCCCCTGCCAGCAGGCCTGCTGTGTGCCCGTCTGCTGCACACACCTGTCTGCTGCACATACCTGTCTGCTACACACACCTGTCTGCTGCACACCTGTCTTCTACACACCTGTGTGCAGCAAACCTGTGTGTATGTGCCCGTCTGCTCTGGGGCCACCCCCTGCCCAGTTCCCTCATGCGGCCAGCCCGCTTACTGCTGCTCACCCTGCTGTAGACCCTCCTCCTGCGTGTCCCTCATCTGCCGCCCCGTGTGCAGGCCTGCCTGCTGCGTGCCCGCCTCTTCCTGCTGTGGCCCTGCCTCCTCCTGCTGTAGACCTTCCTCCTGCGTGTCCCTCATCTGCCGCCCCGTGTGCAGGCCTGCCTGCTGCGTGCCCGCCTCTTCCTGCTGTGGCCCTGCCTCCTCCTGCTGTAGACCTTCCTCCTGCGTGTCCCTCATCTGCCGCCCCGTGTGCAGGCCTGCCTGCTGCGTGCCCGCCTCTTCCTGCTGTGGCCCTGCCTCCTCCTGCTGTAGACCTTCCTCCTGCGTGTCCCTCATCTGCCGCCCCGTGTGCAGGCCTGCCTGCTGCGTGCCCGCCTCTTCCTGCTGTGGCCCTGCCTCCTCCTGCTGTAGACCTTCCTCCTGCGTGTCCCTCATCTGCCGCCCCGTGTGCAGGCCTGCCTGCTGCGTGCCCGCCTCTTCCTGCTGTGGCCCTGCCTCCTCCTGCTGTAGACCTTCCTCCTGCGTGTCCCTCATCTGCCGCCCCGTGTGCAGGCCTGCCTGCTGCGTGCCCGCCTCTTCCTGCTGTGGCCCTGCCTCCTCCTGCTGTAGACCTTCCTCCTGCGTGTCCCTCATCTGCCGCCCCGTGTGCAGGCCTGCCTGCTGCGTGCCCGCCTCTTCCTGCTGTGGCCCTGCCTCCTCCTGCTGTAGACCTTCCTCCTGCGTGTCCCTCATCTGCCGCCCCGTGTGCAGGCCTGCCTGCTGCGTGCCCGCCTCTTCCTGCTGTGGCCCTGCCTCCTCCTGCTGTAGACCTTCCTCCTGCGTGTCCCTCATCTGCCGCCCCGTGTGCAGGCCTGCCTGCTGCGTGCCCGCCTCTTCCTGCTGTGGCCCTGCCTCCTCCTGCTGTAGACCTTCCTCCTGCGTGTCCCTCATCTGCCGCCCCGTGTGCAGGCCTGCCTGCTGCGTGCCCGCCTCTTCCTGCTGTGGCCCTGCCTCCTCCTGCTGTAGACCTTCCTCCTGCGTGTCCCTCATCTGCCGCCCCGTGTGCAGGCCTGCCTGCTGCGTGCCCGCCTCTTCCTGCTGTGGCCCTGCCTCCTCCTGCTGTAGACCTTCCTCCTGCGTGTCCCTCATCTGCCGCCCCGTGTGCAGGCCTGCCTGCTGCGTGCCCGCCTCTTCCTGCTGTGGCCCTGCCTCCTCCTGCTGTAGACCTTCCTCCTGCGTGTCCCTCATCTGCCGCCCCGTGTGCAGGCCTGCCTGCTGCGTGCCCGCCTCCTCCTGCTGTGGCCCTGCCTCCTCCTGCCAGCCCAGCTGCTGCCGCCCGTCCTCCTGCATGTCCCTGCTCTGTAGTTCCATGTGTTCCCACCCAGCCTGCTACGTCCCCACCTTGGCAGACTTCTCTCCAGGGCCAGCAGGCCCAGGGATTCTCCCTACTCACCAGCACCTAGAAGCCCCTGGAAGCCCCTGACGGCCAGCTCCCTTGGCTCACCCTATCTGGGTGTAGCTCAGCCCCACTTCCTCCAGCCCAGCCCAGGTTGGGGCCCTGAAAGCTCACAAAGCTCCTCTCCTGACCATGGCCCTGGCTGCCCTGGCTGCGCCACACCACGCTTCCTGGCTCAAGGCCATAGCCCTCCTTTGGTCAGGGATGGGCCCTGCCTGACCCCGGTCCTGCACAGAGCTGTGTCACTCAACCTCTGAGCACCAATAAAAACTCTGCTCCCCTCTCTGGCCCTTCATGAGACTGCACACATCTGGGGGTGGGCGGGACAGTGCTGAGGCCTGTGCCCTCAGCTGTCGTGATATCACCAGTTTAGGGAACTTTGAGGGGCTCCTGCACATGACACCTGGAAGCTCATGTCCCCTTCATGCCATTCGGCTGTTTGACCACCATCACAGCTCATGCAGGGTCCTAGCTTTGTTCTGGGCCCGATCCTGTGGGCACCGCCTGGCCTAGCGCCCAGACTGGCCTCTTGGGATGGCTGGGCACCCAGAACTCACACACAGTCATAGACACTGGGACACACACCCTGTGCCCCGGCACCGAGCCAGCTACTGGGACACCGAGGGCAGAGACCAGGACGCAGCCTTCAGAGCTCCACCTGCTGGGCTGGGCTGGGCTGGGCTGAGGGAGAGCAGGTGGGAAAGGGAGGATCCCGGCCGGCATTGGTGTGGTAAGTCCAGAACATGTGGGAGCGAGTCCAAACCATGAAGTGGGAGGTAGATGTGAACATGTGTGTCCAGATGTGGCCAGATGCAGGTTCACGCACGATTGAGCAAATCTGAGAGCAGACTCCCAGAACTAGGACTGCAGAGCAAAGCGTGCAGGCACTGGTGATGTGAAGATCGCCACACTGCCCATAAGTGGTTCTGGGTCTGAATAAATAGCATAGATTGTCCCGGCCGGTGGCTCAGTTGTGTGAGTGTCGCTCCCTACACCAGAAGGTTGTGGGTTCAATTCCCCATCAGGGCACATACCTAGGTGCAGATTTAATCACCAGTTGGGGCACATATAGGAGGCAACCGATTGATGTTTTCTCTCTCTCTCTCTGCCTCTTTCTCTCTCCCTCTCCTTCTCTTCTTTCCTCTCTCTAAAAATCAATAAACATGTCCTCAGGTGAGGATTAAATTTTTTTTTAAATAGCACAGATTTGCAACATGGAGGCTCACATTTCTCTATCTTTGCCAGTTTGATAAGAAACATATTTTATCATGATTCCTTTGCCAAGGTATGCATCCTCCCAAAGTGTAGACACGCTATTATCAATTTATGTACCGTACAGATGGACAGGCATTTAAAGTCTCTCTAGTCTTGATTATTACAAACACCACCGTGAGGGGCCTCACATACCGTATACCCATGTGCACCAATGCACGTCTTCATGGCGCTTACATTGCTTGACGTGGCATTTCTAGGTCGGAATGTTTGCCAATTTTAAATTCTGAGAGATACTGACAAATGCCCTTCTAAGGACTTTTCAAAATTGTGCCACTAAAATGTCAGAAAACATAGAAAATAGGAAACTCTAAGCTTTCCTTCCCCAAAC